GTGGATAGGGTGTTTGGCTTTATGTGTATTTGGGTTTAGTATAATGGTTTGTCATGCTAGTTTTACTTCGAACTTAACTGTGTTCGCGTAAACTAGATAATTTATGACTAAAACGGCGTCTCTGTTTGCCCTACAATCCCAAGCTACCGATTTTGGGGAAAATCCGGCTCATTTTGGGGGAAATTTTGAAGAAGCCGCTATATTAAATTTTGGGGAAATGAGACCTAAACCCCAAAATTTCCCCAAAACCTGGGAAAATACCCAAAATTCCATTTTAACCTTGATCAAGGTCATTTGACTTTGGGGATTTCTCCAAAGTTCCCCAAAATTAAAAGCTCGGGAGTGGAACTAAATGTGATGAATAATTCCCGAATCAACTCACAAAGGGGAAATAAAGGCGAACAAAGGGGGAAATGCCTTGGAAAATACAGAGGAAATAAGGGGGAATCGCGCTAAAATGTCTGCTTTTCCCCCTGTCCGGGGGAAATAATGCGGATTTTCCCCATTTCGTTGCTCTGTTTGTCAAATGTCGCTGAGTTGTCCACTTTTCGCCTAAATATACGCAGAATCCTATACTTTTGCTTCGACGTTTAAAACGCCATTAACATAACCCCAAAGGTTCCCTATATTCGTCTATATTCCCACAACGCACCACACTGAAAGTGCAATCCACGTGAAAAATAGTATATATTTAAATAAGTTTATTGAAAAGAAAAAGCGTATTATTATACAATATTATGGCAGAAGCTTGGGCATCAATCATTATGCATTTTCACTGTACTTGCCGATTCATTGTTATTTGAAAAGATCTACAAAAGAAAAAACAGGCGATGTATTATTAATAAGGCATGTATACTTAACTGCAAGTTCACTAAAAATCAAACAAACTTTCTAAACACTTGAATAAAGTTTAAAATGAAAGTAAGAAAGTAAGCTCGTTTTCAAAGAAAAATGTTTTTAAAAAAATAAGTTGAACATAAGAAATATTCCACGGATTATTTCTTCTAGCCACGCCTGTTTGGCTACTGAAAATCAAAATGATCTTCTTGTGAATTCTGGAGTGTAAAAAAAAGAAGTTAAGATATCTGAGTGACATGCTTTAGCACAGCTAGCTACTTGAAGCTTCACTTACGGTAATGTTCGTTAACACTGTCGACTAAACCTATAGAGCAGTAGGGAAGTTATCACTTTAAATTATTACATACCTGTCCTTGTTTCCTTCTATTACGCTTTATTGATTTGTCTCTGACATTGTGAAAATAACCTTGTGTCGCGATATCGTACAGTTCCGCGAGGTTTTTTTCGTTGACAGATGATGACACAAAGCAATTAGTCAATGCACCTAAAGTTTAAATAATAGATATAGGTTACTTCGTATGCAACCGTGAAACCGGCATTTCTGAGGTGCTCGTTTTGACGAAGTGCCAAGTAGCGTGAAATTACTGGCAACCTCAGGTGTCATGAGGTACGACAAAACATATCGCATTGAGGTTTTAGGATCATTATCCACTAACCTCGCTAACATGGCCATCTGTAATATGAACGAATTATAAAATTAATGTTTTTGACTTATAAATCTGTCCCTGGTTTCTTTCTGGTGCAAACCAGTGTCTAACATCTGCAGTTCCCCTTCAGATGACAAAGGGAACTGCTGACTTGATAGTCCGCAATCGAATTGATGCGGATGTTCGCGGTCACCAAACTTCGATAGTAGCAGCTTCATCTTTGCATTTAAGTCAGTAATAGCTGACGACATCTTCTGCAGCACTGTATGCAACCTATCAAATCTGAAAAGCTTCACTTGATCGTACAGGTGACTTGCTCGGCCGCTAAAGCACTGCCTATACGCTTAGATTCTGATGTTGACGGTGATGTATCTAACTGTGTCGAACTAATTAATTAACATCTAAATAGTAATGAAACGTACTTGGAAATCGGTGAGGTGACGCTGTCAAACAACCGAAATTTTGGATATTGTACGTGGCTATTTCCAGCCTGCATCTCAGCCACATCCATGTTTACTGGATTGTAAAGAAACTCTTCTTTACGCTTCAGTGCACTTCTACGAAATGTTGGCAAGTTAATTTTACTGATCTCTTGGGCTTCTCAGTGTTTATTGGCAAGGTTTTTTTCTTCCATTGAACTGTTTTTACGGTAAAGATCCAGTATTTGGAAGGAAACTGACATGTCCTTTGCAGACTGCAGACCATCTATAGTAAATTATAGTTTCTATGTTTGTTACTCACCGAATTCGGGAGTGACTTTACATTTCAGAACTGACCAATTGTCATCTGGATATCGACAAGCTCCGTTGGATAAAGGCAAAGTTTTTTGCCAACAATCCACTGCTTGGCTGCTATAATGAGTTGTTTCGTGCTAGGTACGTCAACAATGACGTATTGTTTGTTAGCGGGCTAAACATAACACAATAGGTAATGAAATGGTTTATGATACATTCACATAAAAGTATGTAACAATGGAACAATAACTAAATAATGGATACAATTAATGGCTATACATTGACAGTCAATGTCCTTAACCGCTTCCCATGTGTGTTCATGGCTAACTACGGCGCACATAAATATTCCTATATTACTGGATGGGAAAGGATCTTCGAAGTAATTGCGTGGGTTAGTGAAAGACCTAAATTTTAGTAGTCCGTTCTCCCCTATATCAGTGACTAAACCAGGCTTTCCGTTTACTACTACAACATTATCAGGCTTAAATGAAGTTATTTTACTATTCTTAAACAGAATTACTTGTTTATTTGAGTCCTCGTCAGCGGCTATTTCGGTAGTATTAATTAAACTGCTAACTTGAAGCCTATTGCAGAAGAACATTTTCTCCGCATAACACTGGGCTGCTTGCTTTGCAACAGCATACCCGCTATGCACAGATTTTTTTATTTGTCTCATAAGACTCAAATAGAAAGGCTGAAAAACGGTCTAAAGGTCCATGTGCACGAACACCGTCAGGAAGGTGCTGTAACAAATGAACATTATAAACCAAGTTTTCAGACCCATAACACCATTCGTATTCTTTAAGAAAGTTCCCTAAATTCATTCTGACGGATTCTACAACGGTATTGTGTAATTTAGGATGTGCAGGCAGATAAACGAATAACGCTAAACGCTTGAAATTAAGATACAAAGGTTGCGGCAATGTGTTTTGCAGAATAACTGGGCCTAATTATAAAAGGAACAACCTACGTTCCGAAGCTTTCCATACCGATACGACGTCTAGTACACGGAAAGCCTGATACTTTAGCGCGTTTCCCCTTTATTTCTATTGTATTTTTCAATGCATTTTCCCTTTTGTTCGCCTTTATTTCCCCTTTGTTGGTTGATTGGGTAATTACTCTAGCACGAACGTTACCAGGTATGGATAATTCCCGTGGGTCTTTATTGATACGTTTTTATAGACATGTACATGCATCATGCAGACAGCTAAAGTTTGCAACGCAACAAATGTTGTGTGAGGTAAAACTGTCATTTTTGATGTCTATTTTGCTCTAAAGTCAGTACAAACAAACCACAGTGGGTTATGATCTTACAATCATCGCTTGTTATTGTTTAAATCCCTGTGAATAGGAATCGGTGTCCGAAACGTTCCGTCATTAATGTAATTGTTGTCACTGCCTGTACGATATGTATGAAGACAGAATAAATTATGTATTTGGTGGTTGTATCTCAGAAATGCCGAGTAAAGTGCTGAGATCAACCAAAAATGGTTAAATCATTCTCCTTTGCTTTTCATCATTATATCATCCTCTCAAGGTAAAATAAAAGACGTGATACCATGAAAGACTCATTTGAATGAAATAAACAACACTGGATGTGATATCGTGGTTTTTTTATATTTCACTGTGTACTGGTTTCTAGAAAAACCAAGTTCAAATTTACTATTGATCATTAAGGAACTCCTTCGTTCAATTAGATGGATAGCTTAAACTTCAGTCGAATATTGGCTCTCTAGTGACAATAGTTTTTTTTATTGTAATAGTCTAACATAACTGTTGCTTCACTAACTAAACCACAATGGTTAGCATTTCATTGCTAACATATTTAATACCAGGCAAACAAAATTATCACAAATGCACACAAAAAATTAACATTATGTTAATCGTGTGCTAAAAAAGAAACCAAGAAACTAGTTTGGGTCAACATATTCATCAGAGTAAACTTTTTGAAGTGTAAATATACTAAAAAGGTCCCCAAATGCCCTGGTACGGCCGAGAGTGGGGAGAGTTCACTCTCCTTCTCGAAATGCTCTCACATGGCCACGCGTATATAGCCTCTGCCAGGGAAGTCCTACTCATTGCCTTCTCGTGGCGGGGGTGTTGTTTACGAAATTGAAAGGACGAAAAGCGAATGTCCGGCGTTTTAACCGGGTTGGTGGACATGGAGAGTCCATCTAGGGGGAGTTGGAAAACCCTGATTCGAAAGCAATGGTGCACATGGGCTCCAGTATCCTGAGGGAACGAATGGAATATGAACTAATCGTTGGTCACCGACTATCATGGGACTGCATCTCCTGATGTTGCTCCACTGCCTTGTGAATCAGACCTTCAGGTCGAAAGCTCCGAGTGTGGCCCCTCAAGAAAACTAAACAGAATTCTATTGAATCGATTTAAATATTAAAGTACCATTGGACTCATTAGCTGAGTGGATAACGCGATGGCGTTTGAACCGAATGGTACTGGGTTCGAGTCTCAGAGTGAACATCAACTCTGAGGTGCAGGTACATCCAACTGAGAAGTCCCAAATAGGACGAAACGCGCGTCCTGGATTTCACTACTAACCACTATCTATCTTTACTTATAGTACCACTGTACGTTTAAAATACAGATATGAACTTTTAATTTATGTATATACTTATCACAATTAAATTTCTCTATACCTAAATTCATTTTAGAGTTATCTGTTTATGGTTCAAAGTTTGTATTTATAATACTCAAGAAGGTCTATTTAAAACAAACGTATTATTTTTACCTTGGTATCATGACTAATAAGGTAGGTTCTTGATCAATGTTAACTAGTTCAATGAGCTATTACCATTCGATTCTCGTCAAATAATATGTGAGCTAAAAGAATATAATATTCAATTGAAATTATTAATATTACGATTAAATGGTTGTCTGTTCGTTTGGTTAGGTAATGAAGAGAGCAAATTGTCCGGTAAATCATAAACTCTATTTACTAATGTATCTTAATAATTATTTTCTATATAGGTTTATCTGTATGTCTGCCTTCACAAATATCACCATCTGATCAACATAGTGCTACAATCTATTCAGTAACTGGTACATCACGAAATCCATTTAGTGAATATGAAGAAAATTTATCATGTAAAATATCTAAACGTTTTCATTGTCCTGTATTTGTTAGTATTAGTTTACCGCATGAATTTGCTCCTTTATGGAATCATGTCAATGTAATCACACAAAGTACACTTGGTCAAAAAGCAGAATATTGTATATTTGAAAATCTTTCCACTATTGTACTTTCATGATCACTTATGTTCTTTGGTCATGTATATCTATGACAAGTTATGTATGTATTCATTTGTATTTACTGTTCATAAGTTGCATTTTGAATTTTATACTCTGTGTTATACGATAATAAGATTAGATTGGCACTGTTTAGTTGCTTAGTTCGGCTTTCAATCAGTTGGTCAAAGGTTCGAGACTCACTGTGCTATGATTTAAGCATCAGTCAGATGTGCAAGGTGGAACGTAACTAAATCGGCCCATACATTTACATCATATCGCTTCACAGTGGGATGTAATTGTTACGTTAAATACCGAAGTGGTAGTAAAAAGTGACTACGCATAAAAAATATGATTTTCAAGTAAAGAGTTAATTTGTGGAGTGAAAGGCATGAAGTAACTTTCAAACTGTAGACCTACGGTTAGATAGAGAATAAATTGATGTATGACATTCCGACTGGTTCTGAACTATGTCACTTAATATCTCCAACCGTTCGTCATGTTAATCTCCATCTACCAATTTGCCTCATGCCAGCAGTTGGTGGCCCCGTGGACTGACTACACGTTTTAGTATGACTACTTCTAGCTTCCTTTCAATCTACTACCTCAGATAACATTGTACATCAAGGTAGCTGGTGACAAAGCATACTTGAGACGTCGGAGCCGTCTCAGTCAATAAAGACTCACATTTTCGTCAACCAGTTTTCTATCTGTGTCTGGTACCCTGGATATAACCTGAACACCATTCACTTAGGTGTCCTAAAATATGCGAGTAATGCTCCGGTGACATGTACAGTCAGATACTTGTAGCCTACGAATGTCCTCTACTTTTAAAGGGTAATTTTCATAGGAATAGACTAAAATAGTTAACTTCTGCACAATGTACTTCCTCTTCATTGACAAACTTACATCTTGCCTACGCCTCAGGTGACACACCCGACCGAAGCTGCTACCTTGACGCGGTGGTCGGGCTTGCCTATCGTAATGACCCAACCGAGCTATATTGGCTGAAACATATGTTTCTGTAGGTTCTACCATGCCAGGCAGGTCGATTGGAGAACGGTAAAACTAAAAGCAGCAACTCAAGGTCTGAGGGCGAAGTCGTACTGCTGACTGTAGAGGGGTGTGACAGTAGTAAGGTGTTTCCCTCGGACAACCAGCATCTGCAACGATGCTGCCTTCCCACAAGAAGGGGCGGGGTTAGAAAAGGTCGACCCTAAAAATGTCACACCTCACGGATTTCCGTCTCCGGCGATAAAGCCGTTCGAAGAACGGAGCTAACCCGTCAAAAACCTCACACGAATAGACTGTGTGCGACCGGCCTCAAGCAGTTGTCCCCTGGGCTCTGCGGTCACGCTCCCAGGTCGTTAAGACCAACACTAATCCAATTTCCTTTTCAGGTTCCTCAAGAAATACCCTTCCATGGTGTGGGCAGCCGGGAAGTGATATCAGCCCTAATACCCGTAACAGTACACGAGACCAGGTTGGTCACATTCAAATCTTTCTTATGCCTCTTAATACCTCTCTTATCTCCACGACTAACCCTTCTCACGTCCCTTTATCACCTCGCAACGCTAGGGCAAACGATTCGAGTACGCGGAACGTTATTCCCGGTCTCCTGAAACCACGCTCTAAACTACATGTAGGAGCTTTTAACGTCCGAACACTGTGCCAAATAGGAAAACAAGCTTTCTTAGCTAGGACTTTAGAATCTCGCGCCATCGATGTGTGCTGCGTCTCCGAAACGCGCATACAGGATCCGAGTAGTGTCATTCATTTGACCTCACCATGCAAAAATAAAGAACCGACTCGATTCAAGCTTCATGTATCTGGAAGCTTTGACGCTGCTTCTCGTGGTCTGGCCGGCGTAGATATAGCATTGAGTCCTAGGGCAGAACTAGCTCTCTTAGAGTGGATCTCAATAGACAGTCATTTGTGCGCTGTCTGACTGAACAGAACAGTAAGGATCCGAAAAGATAGGGACACTCGTCGTTGCCTCTTCGTCTTCTCTGCCTATTCTCCCACTGACTGCAGCTCAGATGATGTAAAAGATGAGTTTTACAGAAAGCTTCTCCGAAAAGCTAGGCGCTCTGATGTAGTAGTAGTGGCTGGTGACTTTAATGCTCAAGTAGGTAAACTAAGCGATAGGGAAAGACACCTGGGTGGATCTTATAGCATCGTGGCTCAAAGAACAGATAATGGCGACCGTCTGTTGCAGCTATGCTCAGATAACCGCCTCTTTCTTGCAAATACTAACTTTAAGCATAAGGAAAAACATCTTTTAACATGGCAACCCCCTAATTCGTCCCAACGTTGGACCCAAATAGATCACATCGCTATCAGCCACCGATGGAGGGGCTCGATAGAAGACTGTCGCTCATTCTGGAGCACATGCTTAGACTCAGATCATGCTCTAGTACGAGCGCGTATTTTTCTGCGTCTTACTGAACGTATGAACTCTTAAAATCTGTTTGGGTGCTTTTAATGATTTCAGAATATAAACAATCTATATCAATTAAGTTAAGTATATATGTTATTGTTTTTCCAATCTATAAGCGGAGTAACCTGTAGGAGTTATGAATAGATTTAATAGTTGAATTCATGAGAAACCTGGAAGTACTGGACGGTCGTTTCATTCTAGTATGGAATTGCTCAGCAATGGATATCCACGATCTCACATTCCGGATTGAAACCCAGGACCTATCAATCTTGTGCATGAACGCCTAACCTTTAAACCACTGAGCCAACCGATATCTAACGTTGTTCATGTCTAACTTCAACAAATCCACAAAATCAGTAGATTTATTAATTATATTAAATCTGTTTACATATTGCAATCTTATTTTTTTATTGAATAGGAACAATCTAGAAATTGATTACGGCTGTTATCCTTGAAAATCATGTAATTCTAACTTGGTTCAACTTTGGGAATATTTTATTCCCCCCCCCCTGTTTACGGATCTTTCAGATGATTCATGTTTTCTTTTTCTTCTTTACTCTGATTTACGCATAAAAGAATTACATTTCACGAATCTCCCCCCTCTCCCTTCCCCCCCCTCGCAATATACTTGCAATAATAATAATAAACAGGTAAATAAATAAACATTTTGGTTACTTAATATACATAAAATATGATACAAATAAGTATGAAACATAGTTTCCTTACATTAGTTATATAATACAACTACATTGTATTCTATTTCTTATATAAAATAGTGACTGACTTCAGGAAAAACTCCTGGAGTTCTAGTGAGAAGCCGTTACCAGTGGAGTTCAACCAGGTCTGTTGTGAGATAACAACTCACTGAAGACAATGGTGTACGGTGGCGCAACTTCGTGGATTGGTTGAAGTTAGACATTAACACCGTTGGATGCCGGCTCAGTGGTCTAATGGTTAAGTGCTCGCGCGCGAAGCCAGTAGGTCCTGTGTTCGAGCCCTGCGTGGTGCGGGATCGTGGATGCGCACTACTGAGGAGTACCGTACTGGGACGAAACGGCCATCCAGTGTTTCTAGGTTTCCCATGGTGGTCTAGCTTCAATCGACTCGTGATTTCTACCTGTGAAGTAGTGTATGGTCATATTTATATGTGATAAACATAATGGATAGAATGCATAATTTATGAATCATTGTATACGGCTTGACGCACGTTTCGTTCTATTTAGGACTCGTCAGCTGAATGTACCTGTAAAATCAACTCTAGTATGCAGGTATATTCAGCTGACGAGTTCTAAATAGGATGAAACTCACGTCCTGGATTCCATTGTTAGCCATTGTCGATGTTTGCTGGAAAAGCTTGTGGTTTAAGGCAATATCGAGGCAATCTGCACAGGATGTACATATGCCAATAAGAGAGAGACTGATCCTAAATAACAATTGGAAGATACAAGTAAAACAATACCAAGGGAATATATGATTGGTATCGGGGATAGGGTGAGAGACTGAAAATTTCTGATTATTTCATATTTAGTCCAATGGTATATGTTTTTAAGAATAAATGAGTTATTTTTTTTTGTCTTAATTCTTTACGACTTTTACCCTTTGTGGAGTATAAACAGCTGACTAGGAGTCTTCAACCTACTCAATTGATTGTTACCAAGTGTTATTGATTCTTTTGTTGCCTGCTTCAAACTTCTTGCGCAATGTGTTCCTGGGTCTTCTTTCAACTCTCGGGACAGAATTTAAATGGTTGAAGTGATGATTTTTTTGTTAGTGCCTTATTAGCAAGGTTATTTTATACGGATGGAGTTGTTAACCCCATGCCTAACTCTCCTTTTTTATCTAGGCCTGGGAGAGGCAATATCACTAGAAGAAGTTGTTGTTTGTCTATGGTAACATTATTAAAATGTAGAATATGGAGATTTATTTGTACGCGATATTGGTCGCGGACTGATAATAATTTAGGTACCATCGAGTACTGGACAGCTCTTTCATTGTAGTATGGGGTTCCAAATAGAGGCCTCAACCGCTGGAGTTCACGAATATCTGAAATAAAATAATCACCACTAATTATATTGGGTAGCTATTGTGCTAAACAGTGGACTAGGAGAAGTTGGAAGTGAAGTGTACAACTAGATGATTGGATGCTTGCTACGTGTTGGGGACGTTAGATTCCCAGAACTCACTTGGGAAAGGATCTAATTTTGTAATTTTATTTAGAAAATTCGAATTTCTTTGTTTTCGCGCCAAAGGCGCTCTTGTCATCTTCATGTCGTATTTCCCACTGGGAAGTATCTTAAATGCTATTGGTCCGTTGCGTCTTTTAGTATGCTATTTGGTAACTCGCCCCAAGGACGGTTTTTTACTGTATATATACGTTCTGAATTGTGCTTGTTGTTATCGGTCGTTTCTGGCTGTTTGC